GGGGGAAACCCCAACATTTTTCCCATGGAAAAACACCTCCGTGTGGTTTCCTCCAGTGAAAATAGCCATGTGCTCCCCTTGGGCAAACAACCCAACATGGCTCCTACAATCCAACAACCCACCCAACGTGGCTCCCCTAGGCAAACACCCCACCCAACATGGCTTCTATGGGCAAGCAACCCACCCCACATCTCCCACGGTGAACCACCGCAATTTTTGGTGGGGAAACACCCCAACGTATTTCCTGTGGCGAAACACCCCCTCCCCCCCCAGATTATTTCCGACTTCCTCAAAGGCTTCTTTGGTTGCATCCAGAGGGTGGTGGTCAACGGCTCCATGTCCAGATGGAGACCGGTGACCAGTGGTGTCCCTCAGGGGTCCATACTGGGACCAGTGCTGTTCAATATCATCATCAGGGGCACCCTCGGCCAGGTTGCAGATGACCCCAAGCTGGGTGGGGCAGCTGACGCTCCAGAAGGACCTGGCCAAGCTGGAGAGGTGGGGTCATGGGAACCTCATGAGGTTCAACAAGGCCAAGGGCAAGGTCCTGCCCCTGGGTGAGGGCAACCCCCGGGATCCATCCAGGGATGAAGGGATGGAGAGAGGCCCCGTGGAGGAGGACTTGGGGGTGCTGGGGGACGAAGAGCTGGCCAGGGTGCTGGTGGCCCAGAAGGTCCAACCATGTCCTGGACTGCATCCCCCAGCAGCGTGGCCAGCGGGCGGGGAGGGCGGATTCTGCCCCTCTGCTCTGTTCTGGTGAGCCCCCCCCAGAGTCCTGCGTCCACCTTGGGGGTCCTCCAGGAGGACGTGGACCTGTTGGAGCGGAACCATGGAGATGATCCTGGGGTTGGAGCTCCTCTGCTACGGGGCTGGGCTGGGAGAGTTGGGGTTGTTCAGCCTGGAGAAGGCTCCGGGGGGTGGGGGGACACCTGGTTAGGGCCATTCCAGGCTTGAGGGGGCTTCTAGGAAACCTTGGAAGGGGTTGGCCCAGGGCGGTGGTGGAGGCCCCATCCCTGGGAATGGTCAAGGTGAAGTTGGACGGGGCTGTGGGCAACCTAAATCCAGTCGGAGCTAGCCCTGCTCATGCGGGGGGCGGGGGGGTGTATG